AATCTGATTTAGGCTGCTATTATCCCTATTTGATAGGTGAGGAAAGTGAGCGAGATTAAGCACCTTGCCCATGGTCACACAGCCCGAAAGAGGCTGAGCCAAGACTCAAAGCCATGTCTCCTGCTTTCAAATCCTGCCTCACTCCAATTCATGACAAGCTTCCCACAACCACTGAAGAGCAAGCCATTGCATGATGAGGTGTTATCAGTTAGGATGTTTTTAACTGCAAGTTAATTGAAATTCTAGCTGCAACTGGCTAAAATAATTCACTGGCTCATGAATGTCACCACTATTCTGCCATTCACTGATGTATTAAGTTATCCTTAGACTGCCTTCCCTCTTGATCCATAGATTAGATGTCTGCCAGCAGCACCTTGGGTGTATAATTCCTTGTTTACATTCAGTAGGTAAATTAGAGACAGACTGCTATCCCAATCATGGAATATACGTCCTTCTCTTTGTTTGATTTGAGCAATTAAGTTATGGGCCAGAGACAGCATTTACGAACATTCCATGAGATATCTCTCTACATTTCCCAACCACCTTTGCCTTTAGGTGGAACGTATGACTAGTTCAAAGCAATGAACTGTGAGAAGAGAAATAAGTCACTTCCAGAATGAGGCAGATAAAAGCATGTGTACCTCCTCCATCCCCTCCTTTCCCTGACAGAAAGCCTAGGGGATATGAGTCACGTGTTATAGCAGGAAAGACATCACAGCATGGAGGCAGCCTGGATACCAGAGTCACCAGATGGAGGAGAGAGTCCGTCAACCTGCACCAGACTTGGAGTAATCTACAAAATAATTTTTGCTTCCCTGAGCTACTGCAATTTGGGGGTTTGTCTGTTGGGACAGTCAACATTAATTACCCTGATTAATGCAGGTTACATGCCCACCTGTAGCAATGACGAACCTACATATCATCTGCGATGGAATGGACATGCACAGGCACCTGCATTGACCACATGCAATTTTACAGTAAGAGACAGTAAGAGAATTCCCATGCTCTTCAGTTGGAGACTCAAGATTTTTTTTAAATACAAAAACATTTACAATTATACTGCTAATTTCTGCTAAACGGAAAATTGTGCCATTTTCACAAAAAGCACCATCAAGATAGAATGCCTTTGCAGACATGCCTTTAGCTTCTTGAGGCTCTTCAAAAGATACATTTAAAAATAAAATACACTTAGGTAAAACTGTAAAATTTAGTGCATGACTTATCTGTTCTGTGAAAACATTTATTGAACCACTGCCTAGCCCCGAGCAAGAGGCAAGTAATGTGAATAAGATATAACCCCTTCTGTCCAAACTTTACTGCCTGCTAGTGAAGACAAATTGTGTCAAGGAAGTCGAACACATGATTATATATTTCCTAAAATCTGCTATCAAGATAGCCTACTGCTCAATAATGTCTAAGATCAGAGTATAATCAGTAACATAACCAGGATTTAAGCTCAAGTCTGCCAGGCTCCAAACAAAACCCATTTTCTTTCTAAAACTCCAAATAAAAAAATAGCAGGTTTAAAAAACAAAAATCAAGAAATTCATCATGGCATTTGAAAAAACCTATATGTAGCCTGTGTGGGATGAAGGTGGTATTAAACATCAAACTAGAAACTACAAAGAAGATAACTGTGATGGTTTGAAACTTGAACTTGCATAATATGTGTTTGTTGTATTATTTAAGAAAATTCAGTTAAGCTAAATAGAGAACAAGGAAAACATATAACTAAGTATTGATAACATGTAAGGGGATAGAGCTTGGTAGACACATTCAACCTAGATAATTATGTAGAGATGGAAGAACCAAGTTAAGCACCCAACATTTATGAGACACCACATAATCATGTCTGAGTCACCCATTGATTATACCCATTTTGGCCCCATGTGTTCTCTGCCTGAGATATGCAGATACAAATCCATAGCTGTTCAGTCGTTTATTCACAAGTTTATACACAGGCACACTTGCCCTGATGATAGAGCAAGCAGCGTTGGCTCCAGACACATTCCATCTGCTGAGCCTCCCACTGACACTTAATACTGGTCCTCAAAAACACACCATGATCAGGGAAGGCTGACGCGGCAGAGAAGACAAGACAGGCAGGATAAATGAACTTGACGTAACACAGGACTCAGGGAGTGTGGTCCTTTCATCCTACTTACATCCTTGCTACTAAGTAGGTAAACCTAGCCCATCTTGCCCCTCTTGCTTCATGTTGTGTTTTAAGATGATTCAATAAATCCGCAACTAGAATATCTTAATTTGGTCTGTGAGCCTTTCTGTATTGTGACCATAAACTTCTGCCTGCACTATGCGAGATGTGTAAGGTAGCTGATGGTACCAGGGGGTAAGAATACAGAAATGGAGGTGCCCAAGTTAGGGACAAAGGCCTGGAATTGTTTAGAATTGGAATTGTTGCCAGCACCAGCCAGAGTAAGGATTAAGTTAGGACAGATGGACCACCAATTCCCAGAGAACTGATCCACACATTCACCAGTCACACATTTGATACCTGAAGTCAAAAATCAGAACACCCAGAGAATATTATAAAAACGTATTACTGCAATAAATAAAAATTTAAAAAAAAAAATTAAAAAAATAAACACACATCATTATTTAAATAAAAAAACAAAAAACAAAAAATGTACACACGTATTCTAGGCCCCCTCTTTCTTCATCCACTAAAATATGCAAACTCCCCACTCTCAGCCCCCCTTTCTTCAAAATGCCCAGATATCACCTTGGACAGAGCAGAAGAGAGGCGGGGAATCTGCAAGGCTCAGGCTTCACCTGAGAGAGCCTGAGTCATCCAAATCTAACACTTAAAACTAGAAGAGACCAAGATAACATTACATAGGCAAGTATAATTTCCCAGTCTGCCTGGGGGTGATTTACTGAGGAAAAATAGCTATGTTACAGTAAAGAACCTACCTCTACCTTGTACATGAGTAGTAATATAGGTAAACTTGTGAGCCCACTTGAGTTTTACTAACAGCACTACCAATATGGGAAAGAGAAAAACAAAAAGAATGAAGAGAAAGTTGGTTAGTCAATGGACTTAGGAACTAAATACCTTTAAATCAGTCTGTGTCCCTCTTCAAGAATCCCTAAACACACACACGCACGCACATACTCTATAAATAACTGGTATTCTGTTATTTTGTCTGAAGAACGACTATCTTAAGTAGCAGGATCCCTGAGCAGTTGCACATATAAGATACACTATTCTTTAGTTTTCGACTTCTCTACTTAGACATATCAGCCCTTATGCATGCATTTGTGTGACTTAGTTCTCACTTTTCTGCCACAAAACAAAAAGGTGTTTTGTTCTCCAATAGCTATCTTTTTCTAGAAATACTATGCTACAATTCCTAAAAATATAAGTATTTACTTTCACAGTAAAACTGGGACATAGCACAATTCAGGCCAACTTGAACCTGAAGGATAGGAATGATTGAAAACCATCATCTACCAGAATGAATAATCTTAAACAATATGATCTTTATGTCAACCTTAAATGAGATTTCGTACAAGCTTTGGATATAAAATAAGGAAAAATATGGAGTCTCATTCATAGTCTGCATTTCAGTCAAGGCAGATATCAATGTATGCAGGCTGAGGGCAAGAAGTAAGGATCTAATCAGACAACCAGAGATGACAGCAAATCTCATGACAAATAGGTCAGTCAGCTGCCTCAACTCTACACATTTCCACTTCTAAAGTATTTCTTTGATAAAGCTGGAAAAATGCAGACCTGTGTCTGCAGTAAAATAAAAGCTCAGTATTTTACACAGTCAAACCAGATCTTGAAGGAAACTCTTTGGAGTGATAAAAAGATAACCAGTTGGATACCTGGATGCTACAAGCCTTGAGGCTCAAAGGAAAAGAGACAAAGACAGGTAGGCTGGCACACAGGATGCTGATGAGTTCTGAGCAGGAAAATGAGGGAGTCACTCTGCAGTTTGACTAAGAAAATTCAATCTGTGGAGCTGATACACCATCTGGTGACCATTCGGGGCCTTTGTGTCAAAAATTGCCCAGATGTTTCTAGATATTTTGGGATGCCATCACAACCTACAACAAATTGCAGCTCCTTCTGAAACTTAAGGAAAAAAAAGGGTCTGTCTTAAATGTAATAAAACACAAGTAAACAAAGTGACAATGAAGAATAAGATATTTCTCATTTAGTACCTCTAGGCACAAACAAAAGGCCCCCTTGGAATACAATACCAACTTGAAATATAGATATGTGTGCTATTTATGCATTTCTATACATTTAAATAAAAGTTTAATTACAGCATTAAATTATATAATTGACAACACTTAGTTATTGCAAAACGTTATGTATAAGCACCAACAGAACTGCTTTTGAAATTCATGAATTTCAGCCCTAGAAATATATACACATAGTTTTCCATGGATTTTATATCAGTGTTCTCTATTGATGCTACCGTATTATAACAACCAGAGGTTTCCACAGTTGATTAAGGATTCACAAACATCAACCAACCTCTTTCGCCATCACTTTCAGCAGCTATGCTTAAACAGAAATTCTAGAATTACTAAATGATAATAAGAATGTGAAATAGAAAAATGGCATATACGTACTCAGACGTAATAAATGGTTATTTTAATTCTCACTCTAGCCACAAGATTTTTCCAGTAACTACAATTAAGCATTCATATTTAACTCTTTCAGAACAAGAAAGTCTAAAATGCTTGAGAGTGCTCTACAGTAAACCAAGTTGACTGAACGGAATCAACTCAGCATGCATCTTCTTCACCTTTTTTGGAAAGGAAAGTGGACAAAAATGCCAAATGCTGCCCCCAGTACTGCTTAATGTCCATTTGAATAGATAGGAATTTCAGTAACAAATCTTCCCCCACCTCCTCGGAAGGAAAAACAGTCACACAAACATCTCAGCACAACCAGGAGGGCAGAGGCCTCTCCCGAGCCCCGGCCGTGTCCACCCAAGACAGAGGCGGCCTGTACTCACACAGACGGCGAGCGCTCCTGCCCCCATTCTCGCAGGAAGTGTCTGGTAGAACTGAAGAAGCCCAGAGGAAAACATCAAAACGACAGCAAAATACTAAAATTCCATTCAGTGGATATGCTTTGATTTGAAAAATCAAATTTTACAGCTCCTAACCCAGAGGCCCCACAGTAAGTGAAGAGCAGCTCCTAACATTTTCGGAAGTGTGGTTTTGCTTCTTAGTCCGCTAAACCCACATGGCCGGGAGGACGGCCTGGAGTTGAAATTTGATCCCGAGCGTCTAGTATTGGCAAGTAGAGGGAGTCATGTGACGTGGGTCTTAAGTCGCTGACATCTTTTTCTTAAACCTGACTTGCTGGATGCCACACACAGGCTTCTTCTGTTCAGGCAACTGCCAATCGCCCGGTGGTCTTCAATTGAGAGGACCGACAGGGCAGAAAGCGAAAACACAAACTTGCTTCCTTGCCGCTGCTCATCTCTAAGGAAAATTCACATATTCACACTCCAATTCAAGACTGCAGGCATATTCCTCACTTTTCTGAGGCAGTTTTGACTTCTATTACCCCCTAGAAACCAGTTAAATTCTATCAAAATTTTCTTTTCTCCACCTTTATTCTATCAGAATTGTTCTAAATGAAAATGCTCTATTTTATGTAGCTGTACCTTATGGCTTCTAATTACTTTCAAATAACCTTATTTGCATATACTGGTGATAAATATAAAAAAGCATGTTTCTAGACATCCACAATACTACATATGTAATTTACACTCTGGAGAATTAGCCTCTAGCCTACCTTTCAATAACTTCCTACTCCATATGCTGGGTCATTACAAAATCTGATTGATTTTACCATTTCCAAATATTTGAACTGATAGGTAAAATATCCATTTCATATAAGCCAGAAGGGAACTGTCCTATTTTTTTTTTAATTACCACTTTTCTGCCAAATCATTTTTACTGGCACATTTAAGAAAATGCTGACTAATATTACATGAGAAATTTCACTTGACTCAAAAGACTTAAATTGCCCCCAATAACAAAATATAATAAGGTTATATCTTAAACGGAGGAGGTGAGAGGAAAAAGGAAAACTGAAATCAGCTCCCATTTCAATACTTCCCTTCAAATCTAATATTTTTTGTGTATCTCTAGCCAACCAACACTATCCACAGCAAAGCTAAGATAGCAAAGCGTGTTGAGCAAGCCACAGGACAGGACAGACTGTATTTTATTTCTACATGTGCACAAAAAACACTGCACACACTCTACTTCCACAAGGCAGAACAACACAATCCCAAGGCCATACAAGGGAATGCGAGCAGAAGAATGGAGATAATCTTCTCCATTAAAAAAAAGAAAAATTTTTTCTACTTCTACCTTAATCTAGATTTTATCACTTCTGCTTCTGATTTACCCATTAGAAAACTAGGCTGATTACTAAAGAAAATCATAAAACAAACTAATACTTTAAAAATTTGTCTTCTTTTTCTGATTATAGAAGTATCACCGGTCCATGGTGAAAAATAAAAGCCTAGAGAATAGGTCACCTAGGTGCCCATCTCCCATCACCCAATCAATATTTATTCTCTACACTGGGCCAGGCACTATGCTAGACAATGTACATATGATGACAAGACAGACTTGGGACCTTTTCTCACAGATCATCCAATAGGGGGAGGGAGGAATAAAAATAAGTAAATAAATCTTTTGATTAGTAAATGCAGAGGTGCTAATAAAGCAGTAGAGATGAAGTAGTGAAAGAGAATAACGGAAGACAACCAGAAGTATTTACATATCTTCTTATCTCTCTTTATGGTTTTTTTTTTTTTTTTGCTGAGGCAGATTTGCCTTGAGCTAACATCTGTTGCCAATCTTCCTCTTTTTTTTGCTTGAGGAAGGTTAACCCTGAGCTAACATCTGTGCCAGTCTTCCTCTATTTTGTATAGGGGTCACCGCCAAAGCATGGGTGACGAGTGGTATAGGTCCACGCCTGGGATCTGAACCCGGGCCACTGAAGCAGAGCACACCAAACTTAACCACTATGCCACAGGGCTGGCCCCTCTTTTATGCTTTTTAAAAAACATAATTTAAATCTATTTTCTGATCACTTCATACCCTAATTTTTTCATTTAACACTGTATCAGAGGCATGCTCCCATATGAACACTATAAACAATTTTTATCATGTGTAATATTATTCTATAACAGTTTTAGTCATTTTTAGACATTTACATGGTTTCTTATGTTGTATGTGTGACTGTAAGTAATGCTTTGTCCCCATTCTGATTGTTTTCTAGTCAAGTCTCCTGAAAGTGAAATTTCTGGATCACAGAGAATATGAACATGTGCTGAGGTTCTTGACGTACATTGGCTCTGACAGTTTATATTTTCCAACTCACGCTACTGAAGTTTAAATATTTTGTAAAATATTTCCTAATAAAAAAATTTTTAAATGAGATAATTTTCACTTATCAGTAAAATTAAAAATATGAAAAATCCTCATTAGTCATTTGTATTTCCTATTCTGTGAACTGTCTTTGATGCATTTTCTTTGTCCATTTATCAACTGGAGTCTTATCAGTTGAAGTCTCTTTTATAGGGTCATTATAAGGATTAAATGATACTATCCATAAAAAATACTTAGTATAGTATTTGGCAAATAGTAATAAAATAATTTTGGATGTTTATCATATGGTTTGATTATATACCTACTTGGAATTTATTTCAAAATATAGTAAAAGATGAGAATCTAAATTAATTTGATTTTTATTTTTCATATAACTACTGTCGCCCAGACTGTTAACTCTCCCCAGTATGCAGACTGTTAACTCTCCCCAGTATGCAATCTCCCTTTCTGATAATATTAGAGCTCTTTGTCCCTCTTAGTTGTGGGTGAGCTCATGGTTGTCCATCTAGAGATTACATTTCTCAACCTTTCATACAGGTAGATAGACCCATGTGACCACATACTCATTAACAGAATGAAGAAATAGGATATGTGTAACTTCTGTGTCACATGCCTAATGGAAAATCCCTTGCCTCACATTTACTCTCCTTCCCTTCATCACAAGCTGGAGTGCGGGTACACCGGAAATCTAACTTCAACCTAGGAGAAGAGGGACAATGTCCCAGGGGACGGCAGAGTAACTAGAGGGAAGAAACTTAGACCTCTGAATGACCTTGTGCAGTATAAGTTAACTTACAAGCCTAGATCAACTGAACTTCTACATGAGAAAGAAATAAAACTCTCAATATGCTACTATATTTAAAGGTCCTGTATGTATGTTTGTGTGTGTGTGTGTAAAATAAGTTTGTCTTTACCCTAATAGACTAACCAAATAATTCAGCCCCATTTATTGAGCAAATTTTTCATTTTCCACTTATTTGTAACACTATCCATACTATATATTAAATTCACATATACACAGACACATGCACATACCAAGGCCTTTTCCAGGTTAATATATTCTATCTAGTTTTTTCTTTCTAGTTTTATACCACTTCTTTAATGTTTGAATAACTATCTTTATAATTCATTTAAATATCTGATCAATAGCCCTCTCTCATTAACCATCTTTTCCAAAATTTTATTGCTCTTCTTTCCAATCAGTTCTTCATGATGAATTTCAAAAACATTTAATAACGTTAGAACAAGTTAGAGCACCAAAATATTACACCTCTTACTGTTTCTAATAGGTACATACCATCTTCTGTTTTGGATATTATTACATAAGGTTGATGTAAGAATGACAAAAAATCTAGTCCTAATTTTCACAACTTCTTATATGCCATTATGAAGTAAAATTAGTACTGTGCCTAACAAATTTTTATCCTTATTCTTCTCAGTAATGACTAGATTTCACTTGCAAAAAAGAAACCCTGAACAGGCCATTTACCAAAAGTGCTAAAAGACACTCTACTTCAAACAATGTTTGTTTTCCCATGGAATATATCTGAAATTAGAATCTGAAGTATCACTTTTTTTCCTGACCCCAAAATGGATACAAGTAGTAGAGTCCAATTAATTCCAGAAAGTTCTGAGCTGTCATCCATGTACATTTCCATGTGCTGATTTATAAAGAACCTTAAGATACACAAACCATAGCCAAGAGATGTGCTGATATAAAATATGAGCTATTGCTTTTTCCTCAGAAAGGTTATAAAGGAATTTTTAAAAGTGCTTTTCTAAATAGCCTAATAGGCTAATTCCATGACTACTCCCAGAAATGCTGAAATACCACAGCAGGACAAAGGATATCCCATTTTCAAGAAGATCTATAGGCTCCCTGGGGGGAGGCTTCCTCCCTGAGGAAGGAGTCAAGGCGACTTCACAACTGATGGTCAGGCCCCTAGGATGCTGTCATTCAGATCACCCCCCGACCTGAGGAAGGTTGATGGAAGAAGCTAAAAAGGCCAGGCTATCCTGTAGCCTCCAAAAAAGCCAAAAGTGCTTTAAAGTCAAGCCCTCTGATGCTAGGGGCAGAGCTATCAGTTTTCAAAGGACAAAATCTCTTCAGCTGGAGTAGAAATAACACTTGTCAGAAGAACAGCAGTAGCCTATAGACACAAGTACTGTTAGCCACGTATGTAGCAGAGACCAGCGAGTATCATGGCGAGTGGCAATGGTGGCATCGACAGCGTGAACCACCTGAGGTCCACTGGAAATGGGACACTGGAGGCTCTTTCCTCCAAACTCAGTCAGTATCTACTCCAGCCCTAGCCCTACCCCAGCTATTGGTCAATGAGTACCTTAGCCTGATCAGAATCAATGGCAGCCAACCAGACAGGATATCAGAAGTCAGTCAGTCAGCAACTATTTAGTATTTATGTACTCTCTCTTGACCAGTCAGAGAGGTTCAGATATTTTGGTTTTTGAATCCCTGACAGTGGATATACCTGCAAGATTACTTGTTCTAGGCCAGGGGTCAGCAAACTACAGCCTGTGTGCCAAATCCAGCCACCACAGGCCAAATCCAGCCACCCTAGACCAAATGTGGTCGCACCCATCTGTTTACTTAATGTGTACGTAAGGCTGCTTTGGCACCACAACAGGCAAGGTGAGTAGCTGCAGAGACCAAACCTATGGCCTTCAAAGCCTAAAATATTTACCATCTGATCCTTGCTCTAGG